AGCGTGTTAAAAAAATGACACTTACTCATATGATTGACTTTGTCGGATGGTATTTCCACATTAATTGGATTTGATTTGTTTTCAGTAGATATCTCGACGTTTGACACGTCAGGAGTTTTATTCTTACGATTTGAATTAAGAGTATAAGAGTTATTTACTTTGTCTTCATATTTATTTGTTAGTCTAAGTTTTTTACGTGAATCGTTAACGTCGTCGGGATGAGCTCTCTTCTTTGATTGAAAAGTCTTGGAAGTTTCAGGCTTTTGAATCCTTGAATCCTCGTCTTCATCAAACGTTAAATGATCTTTATAAAATTTTATAATTTTACGTTTACTTGGACGTTTGCCAACATAATGAGGATTTAAACGTATGTTTATTCTATTCTTTTTTCGATACATCTTGTGGGTTTCAGAATTGTTAATTCTTACATTTTCTTGTTCACCAGAATTATTTACCATTTCGTCTGCATTAGTTTTTTTATTAGACATATAATAGTCTACAATGTCTTGTGGAATTCTTTCGATCAATACAATCGGATCTATAAATTCAAAAATTATAAATGTTTTTTTGATAAATATTTCATGTAAAATATATAAATTGTAAATTAAAAACAAAATATATTAATATAAAATAAACTAATCTTACTCATATGTTTGACAGCTTCGGATGGTATTTCCACATTAATTGAATTTGATTTGTTTTTAGTAGATATCTTAGCGTTTGACTTATTGCGAGTTTGATTTTTACGTATCAAAATTAACGCATCAGAATTTTTTACTTGTTTTTTATTGACAGTTGTTTGTTTTTTAGTAATTTTCATAATACGACCAACATTAAGTGTCTTTTTTGATTGAAACGTCGTGAAAGTTTCAGGCTTTTGAATCGTTGTATCCTCGTCTTCATAAAATGTTAAAAGATCTTTATAAAATTTTATAATTTTACGTTTACTTGGACGTTTGCCAATATAATGAGGATTTGAACGTATGTTGACGATAATTGAATTTGATTTTCTATGTCCAGTTTTTAGATGGCTTATAGTCTTTTTGGTTTTGTTTTTCATTTTTAACTTTTCGTGCAGAGATATAAATTAAATATCTGAATACAAAAAATCAAATATTAAAGAGGTTTTGGGCAACTTTTGTGGGGTTTTCGGGCTTAAGAAAATTTCCGTGTCACACCTAAATCGCCCGTGACTGTTAAAAAATATTAACTTAAACAATATAAATTTGTAGTCATGGAAACAAAAAGAAAAATTTATATAAAAACAAATAAATTAGAATAGACAATCGCTTTTGCATTATGTAAAACGAAAAATACATTGGTCATTAAAACTTTTAGCCAGAAAAATTATAATTAAAGTTATATTTATTGTTGTAAAAGTTTGTAAAATTTCTATTTTCTTCATATAATTTTTTTTTTATTGTTGCATATTATATTTTTATAATTGTATTTAAGAAATTGACATACCAAAATGTGTAAATCGACATAAATAAGTTTCAAAAATTTGAAGGTAGACAAATTAGTTATAAACTCACGTGAANTAAGTTTCAAAAATTTGAAGGTAGACAAATTAGTTATAAACTCACGTGAAATTAACAGAATATAAAGGGATGACATATTTATTATATGAATATTTTTCTAATAAATAATGATTAATTATCAGTCTTATCAGTCATTCTAATTTGATCAGATATTGATTCTTGTTTAAACCATTTAATTTCTTGTAAAATAAAAATTATATTAGAATTAAAAATTTTTTTTTAAGATAATATGCAATTTATTAGTCATGGAGTATTTTTTATGTTGGTATGGACCGTTAGTATATTATAATAAAAAAAATGTATTTTCTATAATTCGAGTAAAAAGATTTTNAAAAAAAATGTATTTTCTATAATTCGAATAAAAATATTTTAACTTTGACAATTTAACTTTTCTTAACTATAAATGGTAACTTGATAACTTTATTTTTATCACTAAAATAATCCGGAATAACGTTATTTTTATATAACCATTTGTGTTATTCAAGGAATAATACAATTTGTCTGAGTTACATAAAGAAATTATTTTATAAATTTAATTTACATATATACAAATTAGTAAAATTAATTTCAATTACTACACTTTTAATTGTGTAAACATTATGATACGCTCACTTACGATTAACTTTGAACGAATGTTTCGATGACTTATGAGTTCAGGCGTTCCGTATAGGCAAGCTAACTTTTAAGTCCTCGGCAAGTGATGTAGACACGCACTGTATTTACCAATCGAGAAAAATTGTGAAACGGTACTAGGGACTCAGGAGGAAAGCAATTTGATTTCCGAGACTCCGTAATTTACAAAAAAAAAAAAATTTGAAAAAGTAGTACTAGGAATTCAATTTTGTGAAACTTTGAACTTTTGCGAGGTAAATATTTGACTTATGACTTTTTGAGTAATAACTTTTTTATGTAAAATATTCATAATTAATGAAATTTGACACAAATTATTTTTTTATAGTTTTGAACAAATTCCGGAGGTAGCCTGTTCAAATTTAAAAAAATGAAAATTAAGGACCACCCTACGGTACACACATATTAAAAGAATTAGGAGGGAAGCGTCCGTGCTGTTGCCGGCCTCACTCAAGGAAGAAGTTCCTGAAGCAAAGCTGTGTTAACTCACATGCAGCTCAGGATTACTTAACATACATAAAACCATATTGTTACAATTTAATATATTAACACAATAATTTTATACATAAATTTATATTAATAACCTTATTATTTTGAACTCTCGAACTACAACCGTGATAAAATACTATACGTAGTAATTCACTCGTGTTCTACCGCAATATAGCCTCTTTCTCATAATAATATTATCTTTTTTATTACATTTTAATTTACTACAGATACTAATTAGTGGATTTGGTATATTTAAGACAGAAAGTTAAAAAACATATCTTTTTATGAAAATAAATATAAAAATGTTATTGTTTAAATTTTACAACTAAAATGTGTTATTTATACTAGAAAATAACTCAGTGTACAACATACAACGTTTATGTTAGTAAGGATGTATCATTGATGTTGTGGTACCTAACTATAATGTGCATACTGAACGACTGAACACTAACTAATATTTATCTAACTGTTGGTGGAGCACTAAGCCGAATCTCCCCACTAGCAATTAGCACTAATTGCTACATCTAAAATATAGAAGACAGTGCTTGAAATCACTATCATAAGAAACGATTCGATTCAAATCTGTAGATAGTCTTTAATTCTAAGTAATTGATACATAATTTGTTGCGGTCATATCGCACTACCGGTGTTATTGCGGTGATCGTGGCAGATCTTATAGCCAAAATACACTAAGATGGCAGTGACACTGCAGACATAGAGAGAAGACCGACAACAACTGGACGTAGCACAACGATAGCATAAGTAATCACAACACAATTTCTCGACAGCATATTGACGTGTATCCAACATAATTATTGAATAGTGGTGCGTTCTTTATCCCGCGATGTACCAATTCTTGCAAGTAATAACCAAACTACAAACAATTAGTTCAACAGCTTGAGGCACACGGTCTGCTAGAATAATGGTATACCACATTTGACGCTAGTCGATCGCACGGAAGCGTTCATCCCATCTCTTTCATTTAAAGTGTAGGTGTAACAATACATTTTATTAATATTTTCTCTCTCTTTGTTTCTTTTAAGTTGTAGATGAGGTTCTTTGCGTCATATTAACTTAATTTTTATTTTATTTTATAAAGTCACCTTAATTTAACTTAACGGTAATACTCTTAAATATTATAATTTGTAGGAAATTTGCTTACAATAAATTTCCTAACTGTAATTCTTAAATCAAGTTTTAGTAACCTCGTGGTTAATATTCAATTTTTTAATATTCTTTGTTTATACTCATATTTGTAATCACTAAAAAACTTAAAATTATCTAGTCATTTAAGAAACGAACTGGTTCCTTAATTTAAAATCATATTAAACAAAACTCAAAAAATAGTATATTAGTTGTACATATGACTTCTTGTTCCTCACATCACAAAATTTCTTAATAGATTGTTCTTACTGGTATTTAGACTTATAAGTTTAAGAAATATTTTGCAATTTTATACTTTATTAGATAGTAACTATTTGATTTTTAGGAACCATTTATTTATAGAAATAAGTATATTAGAATTTTAGTTGTAAATAGAACAAATTTCTATTTATAACTAAAATTATTTAACACATTGACTGAGGTGAGGGTCGTTTCAGCCCCTCAGTAGAATATTTAAGTGAGCCATGAGTGGTCATTTCGTCTTTCACTGTTATGTTATCTTTGAAGACAAATAGCCTCTCAGTTACCGTCTAAATACTGTGTCATCTGATTCTCTGTAATCAGTTTATTAAAATGCTTCAATCAGCATTTAAATATTTAAATATAAGTGAAACACCAAAACTGGCATGGTAGTCTTAAGTAGTAGTTTAACGTGTTAAACTATTTCAAATTAAGCATGTTATGTATTGTGTTTTAATTTAATTTTAATTATAATTTTATCATAATTTAGTCTAATTGTCTATCTAGCTGTTTTCTTACAAATTTACTTGATATACAGTCCAGAAGAAAATATAAAAAATAATTTGGCCATTTAACCATTGCTAAAGGCTTGATATTGTGCTATTTACTCATTACTATTATTAATATTTTTATAATTACATTAACTTCAGGAAAATTAAAATAAAATAAAATTCACATCAATTTAGTAAGTGAATAATAGGTGTTTAAAGTTTTCATAAATATTTAATTAGAAACTAAGTTGGTTTATCTGCTAATGTAGTGCGTCTACAGTAATGAAATTTAAATCTACATTATAATTTTTTATTAAGTTAGATCTCTAAACCGTTTGCGCTTAAATCATGTCGTAGAATTACAAGGAATAAAATTTTTTGGAAGTCTTTATTAAGAGATTATAGTGAGAGGTTAGTTGAGAGTAATTATAGTTAAAACAATATATGTTACTTAATAAGCTATACATTTTTTTTAATATTATTATTTGTATAACATTTATCTTCTATAAAAACTTTTTTAATATAAATAATCTCTAAAATTAGATAGTTCTTCGGTTTTAACGACAACTCCAATAGTTCTATTATAGTTATTTTGGAAGAGATAAATACACTTTTTGCTGTCCATATCTTTTTCAGAGTAATTGAGCCCGTTTTTGTCAAAAAACAGCCATTCATTTTCATTATAATAATAAAATATGCACACATCTAGGTAATATGCTGCAGCAAAATATTCTACCACGCTACACGAACTAATTACATTACCTAAAATATATATGAGTACTTAGTACTTCTGTAACTTTCTTTACAATTTATTTTTTACAATAAAATATCCAAGCAATTACATTGTTTCTTATATTTAATAATAGGTAAATTATATAATATATTAAAGTTTTATATATTTATCACATAAATTTTAAATCATTTATTTTATCAAAGTTTTTTGATTACATGTTATATGATGTTATAAAGAACTTTGAGTATGTGTCATTCACTGGCTTCTGCTCCTAAGATTTTCACCAATGAAGACACATAAATTCAACAAATTGAATTTATCACTAACCGAGGTTCTACCAGACTTAAGCATAGTGTAATTGAATTGTAAACGAAAAAACTGATGTTTTAAAATTGTACTTATGAACTATTTACTATTTTCATACCTTAACTCAAATTAACCAAAGACATAGTGGCACAAAACGCTGGCGGCAATATCGATGTTCTCTCCACCTCAACTAGCAAGCATACCTCACGCATCGCAATCAAGAACCCTCTACTACTCTCCGTCAAAACTACACCGTCCAGCGATAACAATAGCACCGCAGACATTATCGCTCACAACACAAATAAAAATACATCCACTAATGACCTATCAATAATCTCTTCAATGAATAATACGAAAAATAACAATATAAACTTCGCATCTGCTGTCACCATGGAAAAGACCTCCTGTCGCGAACAGGCCTTAGATTTTAGTACTATTGACGGTATACCACAAAAAGATTATGTTCTTGCAATAGAAAAAATAGTTTCTCCAAAAATATAACGTTCCTTTCTGGAATTTCGATATAACCGCTTTTGCGTCTTTATCCAATAAACAAATACTTGACAATTGACTATTAAAAATACAATTAATAAATATCAATAATCAAGTTACACCAATTCGCAGATTGCTAAATCCGACAAAAAGATATATTATATCAAATGTATGCCCATCTATACCCAACCAACCAATTACAAACGCCCTTAAAAATTTAGACATAGTTCCCGTATCACAAATCAGCAACTTCAAAGCCAGAATTAATATTGAAGGCTTCGAACATATAATGAGTTTCCGAAAACAACTATTCATCAAACACGAGGACATTCCTAAATTTTTTAACTCGTTAGAAATTACGCTAAATGAATCACATTTTAGAATTTTTTTACTAATGACATAGTAACATGCTTTATATGCAAAGCCAGTGGACACACTTCAAATAATTGTAAAAATGTAGTTACTATATAAGAAAATAATACTTCATCCAGTCCAAATAAATTAAACGAATCTGATGACTTCAACCACACTGAATTAATTGAAAATATCTACTCTCTCATAAGCCCAACGCTTGATATACTTAATCAAACAAAATCGGATTGGGCCGAAAATCCTGAAGAAACTATTTTTTTTCCTCTAACCCCAAATCATCCCGATGAAGCATTACCTCGCTTACAAACAAAAACTCAGAAGAGACTGTTGTCTGACTCGTCTTCCTCTAAACCTCCGAACTCCACAAATGCTCTATTGACATCTACCTCGGCAAAAAAAAAATGATAAAACAACCAAGGAACTCAAAATACAATTCCGCTTAAATTCATCAATTAGTATCGACACAAATTTAGACGAAAATCTAAATCCAATAATCACATATGTACTATCAATGAGCCCTTACCAATCACATACACCCAATTTAAATATATCCTGGATAACTACAACAATTAATTAATGAATATCCACACTCTTATCGAAGACGTAAACACAAGCATTCTAATTTTAATGGACATAATCGAACAAATTCATCCTAAAATAAAGGACCAATCACTCAAATCACGTCTAACAAATCTTAGAAATCTACTTTTTCAATCTCAATCCCTTCAACAAAATTATATCCAAAACTAAACATAACAAGAATCATACAAGTTTCATTACATAATCTCTAAAATTTTCAATCATGGACTCTATCATTCAATGGAATATAAATTGTCTACACAAACGCAACACCGATATCCACAGAGCAAAAACTCATATCGAACCAATCGCCCTATGCTCCCAAGAAATTAATTTAAAACCTAAATGCATTTTTCCTATAAAAGGATACAAAGTTCTTTTCAAAAATCGTCAAACATACCTCCGTGTAAGTGGTGGAGTTGCTATTTACGTCAATAACCTCATTAAAAGCACTGAAATTCATATTCAAACTTCACTTGAAGTTATATCTGTCTCAATTAGTCTTAAAACATTATTATGTATTTGCAATATTTACTTACCGGATAGCACTATTTTTACACTTAATGATCCCACAGACATCATCCAACAATTACCCAAACCATTTAACTTTCTTGGTGACTTCAACAATCGTAATCAAATCTGGGGATCTCATTTTACGGACCAAAGAGGCAAGATTATGGAAAAATTTCTAGAAAATCAAGAACTAATAATATTAAATAATGGAGAATTTACCCGCCATAACGCAACTCACAATTCTCTATCAGCTATTGATCTCACAATAATAAATAGCACATTTGCACCAAAAACCGAATGGAACGTACTTAACGAATATAGCAGCAGCGACCACTGGCCAATTTCTATAAAAATTATAGATTAAACAGTCCCTACATTTCCACCAGTTTGTTGGAACTTAAAAAATTCCAATTGAGAACTTTACCTAGACATTATAAGCTAATCACTTATAACCACCCAGTTAACCTAACTAACGAAATTACCAAACCGAAATAAATTTAATTATTAACAATTTATCTAATATAATATTAGACGCCGCAAATCTGATCATCGGCAAAATTAACATCAAAAGGAATAAGAAAACAGTTCCACGGTGGAACAAGGAATGCATTATGGCAATTAGAGCTTACAAAAAATCTTTAAACAAATTTAAAAAAACTAAATCCATAGAAGACCTCATAACACTAAAGAAATTTTGTGTACTAGCAAGATTTATAACAAAAAAAAGTAAAACTGAAATTTGGCAAAAATACAGAAATTCAATAAACTCAAACACATCTTCAACCGTCATGTAGAACAAAATTAAATCCATTAAAGGAATATCTTATCAGCCCCTACCATCCAATCTAATCCATATTGGCCACTCACTTTCATGTCCTACAGATATAAACGAAACTTTTGCATAGTATGTCATCAAAAATAACTGTTATTCTAAGTATGAATACAATTTTCTAAATTTCAAACACAAGATAGAAGGAAACATTACAAGGGACCTTGAACTTAATTTCTACCAACAAGAGAACACAATCAATCAACCCTTCAATATAACTTCAAAATGCTCAATCTGAATGTAAAAGCAAAAGCCCGGGCCTAGATAGCATTTCGTACTTTTTTATTTAAAATCGACCTAAATCAGGACACGAAATACTCCTCCAAATTTATAATTTAATTTTAGAAAATGGTGTATATCAAGATCAATGGCGCAACGCAATAGTAATACTTATCCCAAAACCTAACAAAAACAAATTCGATACCTCCAACTACAGGCCCATTTCACTCATTAATACACTAGTCAAAAAACTGGAAAAATTATTAAACTAGCGTCTTGTTTGGCATTTGGTGACATAAAATTCATTAACGAATAAACAATATGGATTTCGACAAAACCAACTCTCGATACCCTTTCTTCCTTACACAAAGATATTTGTAACGTAAAAAATCAAAAACAAAATCTAATATCAATAGAATTAGACCCAGAAAAAGCTTACGACATTGAATAGCGAATCAGGGTTCTGAAAATTATTCAAGAATGTGGTATCAATGGCAAAATGTACATATTCCTTCAAAACTTCTTAACAAACCGCAAAAATCAAGTTAAAGCTCATAATGAATTATCAAATACCTACCTAATTGGAAATGGCCTTCCCCAAGGCTCAGTGATTAGTGTAACAATGATTCTGCTAGCTATTAATAATATATTTAAAGAAATACCAAAACCTAAAAAACAACTACATTTTGCAGACGACAGCCACATTTATTGCAGTGGATAAAATATGAAAACCACGATGAAAATACTACAACAAACATTCAATAGTCTCCAAATTTGGTCTAAAAAGACTGGTTTCAAATTTTACCCAGAAAAAATTCAATGTACCTGTTTTCATACTCGTATGACAAAGAACTACAAATTATTCCTTAATAATTTTGAAATACTCTTCTGCAAACCCTTACGCATATTAAAAATGATCTTTGACAGTGAATTAAAATGGACCCAACACCTAAAAGAACTTAAAATCTCTAGTAAAATGAAAATTATTATAATGAAAACACTCTCACATCACACCTGGGGCGCTGACTCATATATTCTTCTTAATATATACAAGTTTATAATATTGTCTGGAATAAATTATGGGTCAATTATTTATAGTTCAGTTAAAGAAAATCTACTCAAAATATTAAATCCTTTACACAATTAAGGTATTCGCATTTCAATAGGAGCTTTCAGATTTAGCCCTATCGACAGCATTTTATGTTATGATGTAGAACTACCCCTAAAACTACCAAGAGAAAAAGATATACTCATCCACGACATAAAAAAAGGAAAAGCACTCCTGACCATATAGGATATAAAAGGTTTTTCAAAAACCAAAACATAAATCCAACCAATACAATTTAGAAACAAATATCACTCATACAAGATACTTTCTATCATCTGTACGCCAAGTTTATAATCCACACATCCATTAGAAATAAAATAACATTCCAAAAATGTCCACCTTAGCTTTGGAAAATGCATCTCAATACTGAATTAACCAAATATAATAAGAATGAAACAAATCTAACAATTATCAGGTCCCACTTCAAAGAAATCATCCAAAATAAATACCCCAATTATTTGCACATTTATACCGACTCATCATACCTCTTAAACTTCGCCTTACTTACTACACACTTGGTTTCTTTGCACAAGCGTTTATACTACATCCAATCTTCTCTTTTATTGCTCTTTTACCATACTTTGAATTACTTTTTCTTACATTCTATGATTTTTTGAACGTCCTCATCCCATAACCAGGTTTCCTTATTTCATGGCATTCTACTCTTGCTCTCACCAACAATTTCCTTTGCAGTATTCTTAACACAACTAGCAAATCTATTCCACACATCATTTATGTCTCCCTCGACATTCCACACCGACCTCTCTATTACTTTTTTTACAAACTCTATTTCATTTTCCCCTTTCAATTTCCACAATTTTCCCCCCGTGTTTCTTCTATTTTTGTTTATTTTCTTTCCGGTACACTACGACTCCATTGCCATCAGTCTGTGTTATATAGTTACACTCTCGCCTTGTATAACTTTACAATCTTTTACTCGCTTTACACTCTCTCTCTCTCTGCCACATAAAATAATCTACCTGTGATCTATTCCTCCCACTTTTATAAGTTATATAATGCTCTTCCCTCTTTCTAAAATAAGTATAAACCACAGCAAGATCATACGATACTGCGAAATGCATGATTTTTTCTACAACCTCATTCTTTCTACTAAAACCATTCCCTCCATGTACTCCTTTATATCCTTTCCTCTCATTACCTATATGTCCATTCATATCTCCACCTATCACCGCATCCTTATTCCTAGATACCCCTTGCAACACCTCATCCATCTCTCTACAAAACCCTTCATTGTCTAATTCATCACACCCCACTTGTGGTGCAAAGACGCTTATTATACTCAGCACTTTTTCTTCGAATATCAATTTACGACCATTATTCTGTCACTTTTCTTAGCAACATCTACTACTTTACTATTTATTTCCTCATCCATTGTTATCCCTAAATCNGCGCTTATTATACTCAGCACTTTTTCTTCGAATATCAATTTTACGACCATTATTCTGTCACTTTTCTTAGCAACATCTACTACTTTACTATTTATTTCCTCATCCATTGTTATCCCTAAATCATTCTTTGTACTAGACTTACCTGAGTATATACTTTTATAACCTTCACCTAGTTCCCTCGATTTCTCTCCTTTCCATTTAGTTTCCTACACACAACAAATGTTAACTATTCTCCTCTTCAATACTTCTACTACTTCTTCACTTCTACCAGTTAATGTTCCAACATTCCAAATACCTATTCTTACTTTGTATTTATCTTTATTCCTTATTCTTTAATCCTTAGGCCTTCTCCGTTTTTAACTACTTTATTCCCCCTCGCCTTTTGTCACCTCTTACATCCGAGATGGGAAAATTCGCCTAAGTTTTTTTCAGGGCACCTCATACTATTTGACGAAAATTTTTAAGCCAGGTGTCGACCTGACGCAACCTCATAAGTCGCCTCTTACAACTGGCAGAGGAGCCGTGGTAGTATTCTTATCCCTCATCCACAGGGAAACAGCAATTTAATAAATAGCGAGGAAAATCTCCAAGGACTTCATAATCATGTAAAAGGCAAAAGGGAACAGAAATCAGGTTTAATTTGTAAGTGAATGCTGGTAAAATCTTTTAACACAGTCTGAGTCGTGAAAAACTAGAAATGATCTTGCGAGTAAGAAAAAGTTAATGGAACCACGGTTAAAATAACATTAATATAGAAATACAAAATCAAAAATATGAAAAAGAGTATATAATACAAAACTAGCATATTTTTGAATACGGAGATAAGTTGGAGATTGTTTTTATTAGCTACGATGGAAAGGTATTTTTTTACAATGATATGTTTTTTTTGTGTCTCTTACTACATTTTCTCAGCTTTCACATGACCGATTTCTTTCAACCTTAAGTCAAAATATATATCGTATATAGTTAAAGAAATTTCACTTAAAAATTAATAAATTTCCCTTGATGCGTGAAAATCTCAGAAAAAATTGCAATTTATAAAATCAATAAATGTTAACATTTTTTCCTTTTAAAAATACCATAATTTTTTAAAAATGAACGTACCAAAATCACTATAAAAAAATAAACGTTTCGATGTAAATCTTTAGTTAGTGTTTAATTTTAAAAATTTGGTGGATTATTCCAAAAGCTACATGATCTGCTAGTTCCTTATTAATATCCTGATTAAGATAAAGTATATCTAATGAAAAAGAGATTATTTAAAACTATTATTTCTCATAAAAAAATTGTGTTGATCCATACACTATTCAAAAAGTTATAGCATTATAAAGTTAAAAATGTAAAAAAAAAAATCGAGAATTTTCACATAAAAATAGCTTTTTCACCTATTTTCACCGTGAAGATAAAATAAAGTCCGAATTTTTTTTTTCCATGATAAAGTATATTACATTAACTTTAATTTAAGATATATATATATATAAGAGTGTCACTTTCCGGAACATTTTCAAAAGTCAAGTTGAAAAAGTTGTCATTTTAAATATTCCCCTGTGGGCAGGTAAAGAGCCATATTTATAAAAAAAGATATACCAAATGAAAGGTAATGATATCATACATCTATATAAAAAAAATTATATTGATTTGGTTATTTTTAAAAAAATTATAGCAATTTTAAGTAAAAACCATTGAAAAAGTGTTAAAAATTATCTATTTTTGGGGGGGATTTCCCTCATTTACGGGGAACGAGAGAAAATTTCTCATATTTTGAGGAAAATGTCTTCGTCTAGATACGATTTGTGATCTTTTGACGTATTGTTGAAAGATGTTGGTTCGGTGAGAGCTGAGAAAAAGTAGTCAAAGACAAAAAAAAAAAAATAAACACATCATAGTAAAGTTAATACCTTCTCAACTTTAATACTTTTGTAATAATACTAATAAAGTACTAGGACACCGATAATATTTTTTATTACATTATTAGAAAAATAAGGTCTTCAAATCTATAACATACAATGCTTCATATTTAACTGTCTCTTATAAAATCTACCCTTATGATTTGCACCCAGAGCTAGCCACCTTAAATCTGGCCCTACCACATCTAATATTAAAAAACTATTTTCAAATTTATTTATTACAATACCTTCAACTTTGTCTACGTAATAGCTAAAATATTCTCTACAAAGTGGACAATTATTTTCATTTCTAATTAGTAGTGTATCAGCACATTTTTTACATAAACAGTGATGACACTCATTCAATATAACAAGTAAATCAGGTTCTTCAAAACAAATTGGACATTCTTTAGCAGCATCTAAAAATGTTTATATATAACAAATGTTTCCATATTGTTTAGAATAAATATATTTTTTTAAATACGAAATACCATATAAACATATTTACGTTATAAAAATATTAATGGCAATATTATTTTTAAAACTTACCATTATAATGTAGTGAGACTAAAATAATTTACAATAATTTAAAATAATATCAAAAATTTTATTATTATCTTAAGATTATTCTACAAATTAATTGTAATTTTAAAATAATGAGACATTTAAAACCACAAATTGAGGTCATGTCACGGATAATTTATTCAATAATTTCTCCTGAATTCTCAATAAAAAAAATTAATTACTTGTACAATATTCTTTATGCATTTACTAAATTTTAAATAATAAAACACTTTATAATTAATAATAAATTAAACTTTTAATTAAATTTATTGAATAATTCACAAATATACTTTATATTCAAAAATTATATGTCTTATTCTTTATACTTATTATCGAATAATTAGTTAATTATATAATAATCCCTATTTTTAATAATAGCTATTCAATTTGTAATGTTTTAATATAATAAGTAGAAATAAAATAATTAAAATTTATTTTATTTAACAAAAAAAAATTAAAAATAATTCTTTTAAATTTTCTATTTATTTTTAATTTATATACTTTTTGAACTATTAATTTAGATGATTTCAGGAATAACTATACAATTGTTTTGTCAGTGAGTATTTCCCTGATGTACTTTTCCATATAGGTATAAAATAATGAACATCTTTTGAACTAAATGCTTAAAAATGTTCCAACCGGTCTTTTTTATAAAAAAATTATTTTACGATAAATAAAGTAAATGTGATGTTTTGTTTAGTGTATTTTATAAATGACTAAAGATGGTTATAAATATTACCTCATTTAAATAAAAAAATTATGTACAATTGAAAAAATGACAAAACTAAAATCTGAATATTGTTCTTATTTCAGAGATAATTGAGTAGTTCACAAGAATAAAGTAATTACCCATTAATGTCAATAAAACATACCTGGATTTAAAAATGTTATATATTGATTTAAATAATCATTAAAAGATTCTTCATCACGAAAAAGTTTTTTAATGTCATCATTTGTTTTTATGCTCTGGTTTTATCATATGTAAAACAGTTTAATACAATAGTAATAATTGTGTTTTAAATGATATTTCAACTTACTGTACAAATGTTTTTTTGTAGTGTTATACTAAATGTTGTATCTCCACATATAAGGTCAGACAATACTTTGTATAAATCATAATATTTGTACTTTTGAAAATAACCTAACACAAATTGCTTATGTTTTGTAAACGTAAATCCCAAACTTTCACATTTGTTTTTTTTCCATTCTTCATCAACTGGATTGAAGTTAAATTTAAAATTTAATTTGACTCCATAATAGTCCATTTTTGTTTTATTATCCATCTTAACACTTGTTAAATATGTTATTTCCTGCAAATAATAAAAAAATTCTTAACATAATTATCGAGATGAAGATCAAAGAATTATATAAACTCAGTACATTTACATCTTAGCATATAGGGTTTGAAATCCTTCTTGTGAGACATTAACGTTAACGCTAGAGACAAGTTGATATACTTGGATTTAAAAATATTGAACAAATACAGAGCCCGATGGTACTCATGCGTGTTAGTTAAGGTTAGCTGTTTTATTTTGTTTTAAGTCAAGCTATGTCAATGTAAAGGAAAAAGATAAGTGAGCTGTACGAATAAATGTAGAATGAATTTTCAAAACATATAACATATAACTTATAAATATATTATACATTAATCATAAAATCTTATACATTCCAATTTGGGTAGGGGAACTCTTAATACTAATGCCACAATGGCACTGATATAAACAAATAATAAATTACAAATAGATTGATACAGTATTGACATGAATAATATATATTTAATTTGATTTCTAATAGATATTGAATTATAGACAACTGAATAATGAGTGGTGAATGAATTATTACATACTTATAATGGTAAATTCTACAAGACTGTAATAAGGCCAGCTGTGATGTATGGTTCAGAGTGTTGGGTGGTTGATAATAAAGTAGAACAGTGAATGAGTATAGCAGAGATGAGAATGCTTAGATGGATGAGTGGAGTGACTAGAAAAGATAGAATAAGGAACGAGCATATAAGAGGGAGTATAGGTGTAGTGTCAATTGTGGATAAGATGAGAGAAAATAGACTTAGATGGTTTGATCATCTTATAAGGAGAGAAGAATCGGAAGCTGTAAGAACAATTATAGAAATGAATGTTAAAGGAAGAGAGGTAGAAGAAGACTAAAAAAGTGATGGAGGGATGCTATTGAATGCAATTTGAGGATGTGAGTGTAGATCATATGAGAGATCGTGTCAAGTGGAAGTTTAGGATAAGGGTGGCCGACCCTAAGTAGTTGAGATTAAGGCAAAGAAGAAGAAAAGCAATGTGAACTATTTCCATAATTTTATCTAGGTTATTAATTCTTAGATTCAATAATATAATATAAAATTATATATTATATATTATATAATTTTTTTAAATTATTATTGATTTTGATTTTTAATATACAGTAAATTTATCATAAAAGTTTGATTTTTTTTACATTTTTATTATAATAGGTCACTTAAATAAAAATCATAATAATAATTTCTAATTGACTTTTGGTGTTTAAACAGATTCTAAAATGGAAATATTCACAACTTTAAGAATGATTTATTTTTAACTAAAAGAACCAATTAAAAAAATTTTTTTAAAAAGATTTACTCAATTGACCGTATTATAAAATTTGATTATAATTGTAAAAATCCATCTTTAAATTCAGGTGAAAATAAAAATCATTTTTTTTTAATTTATGATTTATATAGCAACATTGTACAAAAAAATTTGGAATATTATAGACTAGCAGTATCGCACAAAAATAGAATTAAAAACTTAATTAATTACAAAGTAATATTATTTAATTTTCTATTTGAATACTTTTATCATATCGATTTTTTTAAATATAAAAGTACATTACATTAGCTTTAATTTAAGATATAGATAAAAGTATCATACTTTCCGGAACATTTTAAAAATTTAAATGGAAAAAGTTAATTTTTTGTGAAAAAGTTGTCATTTTAAATCCCCCCCGTGGGCTGGTAAAGTGTCAGATTTATAAAATAAATATATCAAATAAAAAGTAACGATATCATGCATCTATATAAAAAAGTTATGGCAATTTTAAGTAAAATATCTTCTCAGCTTCTCATCGAATTATTACTATTATTTAGAGCACGCAAATAATAAATTAACAAAATCAAATAAATTAACTATTTTAATTATTAAATTATAAAAAAAGAAACAAATTAAAGATAAAATTTATCAAAAAAATTTTCATAGAGTATACTCTATCGAATTTTGTAATCAACTTAATTCTAATCAATGCAGATACTTGGTAGTTTGTTATNTTGTTTGAATTTGTTGGACCAGAGTTAAAAATCACATACACACTTAAAAAAACCAGCACAGTGGGGTCGTGGCATAGTGGAGAGGTTGCATAGTTGGGTCCAGTATAGATTTAATCTGACAGTGATTAAAATCATTATCATAAGAAACGCTTCGATGCAAATCTGTAGATAGTGTTTAATTTTAAAAAATGGATGGATAATTACAAAAGCAACATCAACTTCTATTTCCTTAATTATACCCAGATTAGTAATTATTTTAATTATATATTATATAATTTTTATATTGAATTGTATCAAATTATTATTGATATTGAATTTTAATATGCTAAAAGTAATAATTTTTAACCTTCTTTATTTCGTCCTTTAAAGTGAATTTAATAATAAAAAAAAAAAATGAATTTATTACCATAACTTTTAGCTCAACTAACAAGTTTGAAATTGATATTATTAAATAGAAAAAAAATGAAATTGTTAAGATTAATATGCAATCAGGAAATTTTATAATTACTATTTGCAGTACATTTTTCAGAAAAATTCGATTTTTTTGCTTTTTTATCGTAATTGTAAACTGAAATAGAAATCATCGTAATCATTTCTAATTAACTTTTGGTGTTTAAAAAGATTCTACAATGGAAATATTCAGAACTTAATTAATTTTAATGGTTTACTTTAACTAAATGAACCAAATAAAACAAAGTTATTAAAAGGATTTACTCAATTGAGCGTATTATAAAATTTGATTATAATTGTAAAAATCCCTTAATACCTTTTCAGTTTCGCATCGAAGCTAAAAAAATTTACCTACAACCACGTTTGGAGTAACTGCTATTCCATTTATTATTACGTCTAGAACGTTATCTTTTTCAAATAACGTTTCCTATGAATATAAAAATGAAAATACAGCTGAAAACAACAGACCCAAAAAAAAATAAATAAAAATAACCCAACATAGTAAAATTAATATCTTCTCTGCTTCGCATTGAATCTAAAAAAAGTTATAACTACCACAATCAATGCATATATGACAAAAATGAATAATGAAGTAAATAGAAAATTAAATCGTCATTAAAATTTATATTTTAAAAATATGGGTTTCAATTTACTTATGCAGAAATGACTCGATATACATATTAACAAGTTATTATTCACGTTGAAAAGAAAGTCATAAAACGGTGAAAAATGAACGAATTGAATTGTTTTTATATAATACCTCGTTGAGCGGGTCGGGTGAAAATGTGAAACTTTAAGTTGTAAAACACTAGCGTCAATGACCATTTTTATCAAAAAACGGTCGAAATTTTTAAAAACTCGCGGGTGAGCTGCAAAAGCTTTCGGCAATAATTTTCCCGGAGTCTCGTGATCGATTTTTTGGTTAAAAAAATATTTTTAATATCAGAGCACACTCAGTAATTTTTTCAAAAAAGCGATTTTAAAATAATTTTTAAAATTAATAAATTTTGGTAGTTACCTCATTTGACAATATCAGCTTAATCAAATTACACATCCATAAAAAAATGATTTTTTTTGAAAACATTTTAACCCTTTAGAATTATTTTAAAGTGAACTTATAAATTTTTATGATATTCTATAATTTTACTCTTCTTTTTAATAATTTTGTAAACGTGTTTTACTATTAAATATGATTTATTTTAATATAATTAGAAAATAAATTATATTTAAATAAATGTTTAAAGTACACATTTGTACAATCTAATCATCGTAAAATTTAACTAAGCTCAATAACTTTGAGAATCTATTATTTTTCTTGTTATATTTTCAACTTATTCGTTATTTTTTTATTAAAGGCGCAATTTAGAAAAGTGCTAGACTCCAAATTCTGCTCAGAATAATATTAGATCCACTAATATTGTCCACTAAATCCATTGTGATTAAATTGTGTTCATGGTTCTCATATATACCTACAATGTATCTTATATTTAATCCACTTAATGTATTTAAATTAATTGATTTTTATCGTCTAATAACAAGACAATAATAGATATAAATATCACAAAAAATTAAGAATCCATTAATTTATTTTAAGAATCAAAGAACTAGTCTTTTGTAAGCTATTTTTTTGTACAAAACAAACAATATATGAATATAAGTATTATTACAGGTGATTATTGTACTATGACTCATGTGATTAAAAATATATATTTAATATGATTTTTTATACCAAAAACAATTTTTTTTACTTCTTAAAGTATTCTAACAAATAAAAGCGAAGTGCGCGCAGTAGAAGGTGGAGGGGAGGAGTGGGGACCTAGTCCCGCGCATACGCGCTTGGAATGTGGAGGTTTCTTACTGGGCCGGGGATTTCGGCTGGGCTCTTGAGGAGGGGGTGGCGCGAGGGAGGGAGTTAAGCGCGTTCTGAATTTCGCGCTTCGCCTTCTCGCTACCCGCCCGCACGTCCCGTTCATAGTGCAGGAGGGGAACCGCCGGGAGGCCCACCCGGCCCGCCAATTCGCCAACCAACCGTCGGATCTCCTCGGCGGATAAGGGGGTGGCTATAGAGTTGTTGTTGTCGTTGATGTTAATGCTGAAAAATAACAAACAAAAATAAATAAAATCTACTAATTTTGTTGTTTCATACATGAGACATGAATTTTCCTTGGTGGGGACTGGTCCGTTAAGAACACGCCTTTACCGAGGCGTTCGTGTAATATAGGTCATTATTTTGTAAAACTGAAAACAAAGCATTTTTGTAATGTTTGGTTTAACTATGAATTTCTTGATTTATCATTACAAAAATATAATATAGTCTATTATTTGTAAACCTAGAAGTAATGTTTAGATTAATTGTAATTCCCCGAATTATTGTTACTAGACCAAGAAGTAAATATTTATAAACATTTTTTGAAAATGATTACTATATGAATTTTATAAAAAGAAAAACAAAATATTTTAGTATATAAGACGAAATGGAATGAATTGAAAAGGGGAGAGAGAAGACCTCGGGAGTGCCGAAGGTAATCTCTTTTCCGTGTGGTACGTTTGTGACATTAAGTTTTCATTTGGTGTATTATTTATTTATCCTGTTTTAAGTGTTCTATTATTTTATATGTTTTACTTTGTTTGATTATATCTTTATTAATTACATTTGCGTTATGCTTGAATTACTATAACTATAAGTTTGGAACAAAAAGATTGTTTCATATTTTAATACAACATTCGGCTAGTCTAACGGGGCCCCACCATTTTGGTGCATAACCCGCACAAAATTGTCTGTTCGCGTTCGATAAGTGATGCGCTTTATAGTAAACAACGTCGCCGACCACGTATTTTGTTTTGATGTGACCGGACGGCGGTGTTATTTTTGTGCTGGTGATTTGTTGTTCGCGCTCTAAACGGTCGTTATTGATAGTAGCAGGTGCTACCGGTTGTACTCGCTATAGTAACCAGTCATCCGGTTTCTTATCTTCTCATCTAATACGAGTACGGACGGTGTGTATCCGGTAGTCTCGTTGCGCCTATTGTGTAGAGTGAACAACAAAGGTGGTAGTTTTGTATCCCAAGATGTATGACTCGACTCAGTTAATAAAGTGCGAAGTCCTTTTTTTAACTCTTGGTTTTTTCGTTCTATTGGGTTAGCTCGTGGGTGGTATATCGGTGTAGTCCAGGCCTCTGCCCCACCCCCGATTTATCTCGTCGATCATTTCTTTGGACACGAGCGCTCAGCCGTTGTCGCTTAAAATTACTCGCGTGTAACCGTAGCGTGAAAAAAACTCCATTTCTAACACGTCTACAATCGTTTTCATTGTAGGCGCGCCTATGGGGTACGCTTCGGTCCACCTGCTGAAGCAGTTAGTTACCACTAATAGGTTCGTCTTGCCCCTTGGTGTTCTAGGGTATGGTCCCATCAGGTCGATACTGATTACATCCCACGGCTGTCTAGGTTGGCGCTTGACCATCGGTTCTTCGGGGCGCCTGTTTAAGAGCTTAGTGCACGCGCAAATGTGACACGATTTTACGTACATGCGCACAGCATTTTTTAACCCTTTACAGTAGAACCGTTGTTTGATCGCACGGTGCGTTTCTCTCCATCCGGGGTGACATGATAGGGGATCGTCGTGGTATCGCCAAATTATGTGTTGAACTTTGTCGGTGGGGACGACTACCGGTGTGTCAGCGCCTATACGAATACGTAAAATACCGTCCAACACAAAAAATTCGACCTTATTTTTCGCGTCCGGTTTTTCGTTCGCTATGGTGAGTTGCGCGTTTAATTTTTTTATGACCGAAGAGAGAAACTGGTCGTTGTTTTGCTACTCTGGTACCTCCCCCCCCCTGAACGGTCGGTCGCAGAACGCGTCGTTTGCCTCGGTAATGGAGTAGATATTATCGAGAGTGGCGGCGGTTGTGGGCGGACTAGACATTGGCGCGCCTAACAAATTGTCATCCAGGGCGTCTTCGTCAACAGGGGTCCGTCCGTTGGGTGACGTGACAACATGTTGGGCGATTCGTTGTATTTGCCCAGCACGTGTGTCGTGGTGAAATTTAGGTTACCCAGGTGTAACGCCCAACGGGTCAACTTACTGTTTGTGCCCTTCGCTTTGTACAGATAAGTCAGCGCTGAATTATCTGTGTACAATTCAAAAGGGGCTTACTCTAAGTATGACCTAAATTTATCATTTTGAGGGAAAACATTTTAATTTTTGATGGTAATGTCTTCAACTGGATACACTTTGTGATCTTTTGACGTTTCATTGAAAGAAATGGGTTCGGTGAGAGCTGAGAAAAAGTGGTAACAGACACACAAAAAAAAAATAAATAAATAAAAAAAACCATGTCATATCAAATTAATATCTTCTCTGCTTCGCATCGAAGATAACACAAGTCGGAATATACTTAATAAGAACTACTCAAAAGTGTTTCTTAATAAAAAGTATTTTATTTTCTATTACAATTAGATTTATTATATTATATTATTAGTTATATTAAAAACATTCATACTATTCATGTCTAATTTTAGATTTGTGATATTTTGATTAGCTGAGAAAATTTGTGATAGACAAAAAAAATACATAAATAAATAAATATAACATGGTAAAATTAATACCTTCTCAGCTTCGCATAAAAGATAAAATAATTACTACTTAAAAATCTAAACATTTTTATAATTATTATTAAACATCGACGTTATAATAAAGACAATATAATAAAACATTTATCTTTTTTAAATATTTTTAAAAAAATAACAAAACTCAAAAAAGAGATAGCTCTCTTGTTTCAACGACAACTCCAATAGTTTTCTCACTTTCATGTTTGAAGAGATAAATACACTTTTTGTTCTCCATATCTTCATCAGTGTAATTGGGCCCGTTCTTGTCAAAAAACGCCCATTCACCTTCTCTCATGAACAAAAAAATACACACATCCAGGTAATATGCTGCAGCATAATATTCTATCAAACTACATGAACTAACCACGTTACCTGAAATGTATATAAAAACTTAATTCTTCAAATAATTTTCTTTACATCATTTTTGTATAATAAAATGTCCAAGCAACAATATAGTTTCTTAGAGTTGATAAATTAAGATATGGAAAATTATATAATTATATATTTATCATATAAATTTTAGAACATTTATTTTATTCAAAGTTCTTTATTTTACTAATAATAATATAAAGAACTTTGAGTAAGTTGTGTCGGTTTCTGACGTAAGGCTTTCACCAATGAAGGTGTTATTTTTATAATTAAATTTTATGTTATAAAATTCTATTCCACCTATGGTGTGGTAATCATATATGGTAAGTGGTGATGACCCTTGCTACTATAGCTAGTCGTTATGCAAGTGGCAAACCACGTTGTTGTTGCAGGCTGACAATAAGCCCACTTGAAAGTATAATTTACATGGAAGCCTATATAATAAATTGTCTTAGACACGTAACTTAGGGTGTATATATCACAGTTCTTATTCTTAATTTAATCTGGATCAATTTGGGTTGGGTTTATAGTTATATGTATAATATGTTACTTTTTCATAAAAATTCAGTTCTTATGATATTAAAGTGAAAATACTTTAATTGTGAAGGAAAGAACTTGTATACTAGGATACGTGTTCACTGATTTGCTAAAGAAAGAAGTTTGGTTGGGTTTGAAATCGGTTTTTTTGCCAACAAAAAAATTTTGACTATTCATAAGGACTATATTTAAGAATTCTTTAATTAACAGAACATTTTTTCTCGGTCTCTTATTATTTGATTTTTTTTTATTAGATTGAGCAAAAAGTGTTTAAATCTATAATATACATTGCTCTACATTTTATTGTCGCTCTTAAAATCTGCTATTTAAGGCAACTGCAAGTTGTACCAGCGCCTCTAAATGTAGCCTTCCTAATCACCAAAAACTCTATCTGTCATACACCAATATAAATTTTATTTGTAATTTTTTTTATTACTATACCTTCGACTTCGTCTATGTAATAACTAAATTTTGTTCTACAAAGTGGACATTTCTTTTCATTTCTATCTACTAATTTATCAGCACAGTTTTTACATAGATAGTGGTGACATTTGTTCAAAATAACAGGGGATTCAAGTTCATAATAGCAGATTGAACATTCATCAGCTTCATCTAAAAATGCTAATCTATATTAAATGTTTCCATATCGTTTCTAAAATAAATATTTTTTTGCATACATAACACCACATAAAAAAAATTACATTAAAAAATATGAATGCAATATTATTTTCAAAAAGTATTAATTTTTATAACAATTGAAAATAAAATATTTTAAAGCTTACCTTTATCGTTTAATGAGACAAAAATAATTTAGACATTTATTAGCAATTTTATTTTATTTTAAAATTATTTAAATAATTAATTAGTGTTAAAATATTTAAACATTAAAAATGAGATCATAAAATGTAAATTTATTTATTAATATTTTCTTAATTTTTAATAAAAAAAAACGGTAGCACAGTGGGTTCGCGACACAGTATGGACGTGACATAGTTGGTACAAGTATAGATGATATTTGACAGCGATTAAAATCACTATCATAAGAAACGCTTCGATGCAAATCTGTTTAATTTTAAGAAATTGGTAGATTATTTAAAAAGCAATATTAACTCTTATTCCCTTAATTTTATCCCGATTAGTTATTTGATTTATAATTATAATATATATATATATGAATACATAAATTTAGTAATTAAATTTAGTAGGAAATTGATATTTAATAATTATATATAACAAAGTTATAAGTTTTATACACTGGACTACAAGGAACTTTTATCAGAAACAAAAATATACTTTTCTAAATCAACTTTTCGTGATGAATTCAAATTATATAAAAAATTATTAAATTACAAAATAAAATGATTTAATTTGATGTAATTAAAGCTTATTCGTGAATTAATAAATAAATAATAACACGGCGGTCAAATATATATTTTAAATCAATATACATAGGAAAATGCAAAAACAGTGTCACGATAGTTCTCGCGAGGAAGTTGAAAGATTATTCTATAATATTGCTTGGTGTATCGCCGTATAGGATCGTGCACCCGCGGTCACTGGCCGACGCGCGACCTGTCGGACAAGAAGAGGTAGCTGTGTCGCAGTCGCCATCCAGCGGTAAAGCCAGAAGTGCAATGCAACCGCGTCAAATTTTGTAGTTGAAACCTATCATATCAAACTTGGTTCGTCAATAAATACTTTGAAAACATTAGAAATGAATTATTTTAATTGTGTGTATGGAGAACATTGGATAAGTAACTATTTAAGAAATTTCTTCTTGAAAGGGGCGACTAAAGTGATCGGATCCTTGATCTTTATTGAAGTTATGGAATCTAAATGAGAAAAAAATCAAACCAGTTAAAAATTTAAACTAACTTAAAAAGAATTAAGAAAAAATACAAAAAATTTATTGCAATACGCGAATTAGAACCTTGTATCTTAAGAGCGTAAAACATAAGTGATACCGACTCAGCAACTGAAAAAAATGGCAATTTAAGCTAATTCAAATTTCAAAGTTATTTTTCTTGACTTAAAAAA